GGACGTGATGGTAAACTGGCCAAGCCCCGCCAACTTCACAACTCTCATTGGGGTCTTGTCTGCCCTGCCGAGACGCCTGAAGGACAGGCTTGTGGACTGGTCAAGAACTTGTCTCTCATGTGCTACGTCAGTGTTGGTAGCGATGCATCGCCCATTATTGACTTCATGACACAACGTAATATGCAACTTCTTGAGGAATATGACCAGAATCAGAACCCGGATGCGACAAAGGTTTTCGTGAACGGTGTATGGGTCGGTGTTCACTCCAACGCTCAGCAACTCGTTACGGTTGTGCAGGAGCTTCGACGAAACGGAACTCTATCTTACGAGATGAGTTTGATTCGTGATATTCGTGACCGAGAGTTCAAGATCTTCACGGATGCTGGCCGTGTCATGAGACCTCTGTTCGTTGTTGAGAACGATATCCGAAAGCCAAACCGAAATCATCTCATCTTCACCAAAGAAATCAGTAACAAGCTCAAGGCTGAGCAACAAGAGACTAGCACACGGCAAGGCTGGAGTCAAGAGGAGGTAGAGCAGGCCACTTACGGCTGGAGAGGTCTGATCCAAGACGGTGTTGTCGAGTATCTCGATGCTGAAGAAGAAGAAACCGCCATGATAACATTCTCGCCTGAAGATTTGGAGGAATGGCGAGAGATGAAGATGGGCTTGCCTGCAGCTGAGCGATCTACTGAGGGCAAGGACCGACTCCGTCGTCTCAAGCCTCAGCCAGATCCACGCATTCACGCTTATACCCATTGCGAGATTCATCCGGCTATGATCTTGGGTATCTGTGCCAGTATCATTCCCTTCCCAGATCACAACCAGTCGCCCCGTAACACGTACCAGTCTGCCATGGGTAAGCAAGCCATGGGTGTTGCTCTCACCAACTTTGCGCTGCGTATGGAAACCATGATGAATGTCCTCTACTACCCCCAGAAGCCTTTGGCGACAACCAGGTCAATGGAGTACCTTAAGTTCCGTGAGCTTCCCGCTGGACAGAACGCTATTGTCGCCATTGCTACCTATGGCGGTTACAACCAGGAAGATTCCGTCATCATGAACCAGAGCAGTATCGATCGTGGTCTCTTCAGGAGTTTGTTCTACCGTGCGTACACTGAACAAGAGAAGCGCATCGGTGTCAACGTCTTGGAACAGTTCGAGAAACCTACGCGTGCCGACACTCTCCGTTTGAAGGGTGGTACCTATGACAAGCTTGACGACGACGGTGTTGTCGCCCCTGGTGTACGTGTGTCTGGTGACGATATCATTATCGGAAAGACTGCACCCATTGCAGCGGACGCCCAGGAGCTTGGCCAGAAGACTACTCTGCACACCAAGCGAGATGTTTCAACACCTCTTCGTAGTACCGAGAACGGTATCGTCGATCAGGTGCTCTTCACCACCAATACCGAGGGTCTTCGATTCGTCAAGGTTCGTACCAGGACTACCAAGGTACCCCAGATTGGAGATAAGTTTGCTTCTCGTCACGGTCAAAAGGGTACAATTGGTATCACCTACCGCCAAGAAGACATGCCTTTTACTCGAGAGGGAGTGACGCCAGATCTGATTATCAACCCCCACGCCATTCCTTCTCGTATGACAATTGCCCATTTGGTCGAGTGTCTGCTATCAAAGGTTGGTGCCATCACCGGACAAGAGGGTGACGCCACACCCTTCACCGACGTCACGGTCGATCAGATCTCCCAGCTGCTCGAAGATGCCGGCTACCAGAAGCGTGGCTTCGAAATCATGTACAACGGCCACACGGGCAAAAAGCTGCGTACGCAGATCTTCTTGGGTCCCACATACTACCAGCGTCTTCGCCATATGGTCGACGACAAGATCCACGCTCGTGCCCGTGGACCCCTCCAGATTCTCACCCGCCAGCCTGTCGAAGGTCGTGCCAGGGACGGTGGTCTCCGTTTCGGAGAGATGGAACGTGATTGTATGATTGCCCACGGTGCTGCTGCCTTCCTCAAGGAACGTCTCTTTACCGTCTCTGACGCATACACCGTCCATGTGTGCGACATTTGCGGTCTGATGAGTCCTATTGCGTAAGTTATACTCCTACCTATCCTTCTGTCCTGTGGTTTAGCTACTAACGTGCTATAACATAGTCAACTCAAGAAGGGCCTCTACGAATGCCGCCCTTGCCACAACAAAACTCGTATCTCGCAAATCCACATCCCTTACGCGGCAAAACTGCTCTTCCAGGAACTGCTCGCTATGAATATCGCGACCCGCATGTTTACGGATCGTTCGGGTCTCAGTGTGCGTGACTAGGTGCCTGAAGAGTACTGAGTTTTGTGCAGTTGTTTTGTGTTTTTGCAAAATGAAGACTTTATCCCTCCCGCCTTTCTTCCCGTCGCCCTCCGCTCGAAGATTGGGACTCCGTGTTGGCTTTTTCCTCCTTCTTTTTTCTTCTCGCTCAATTCCCTGCGCGGACTTTGCATTGCTATGGCGTTTTTTTTGTAATTCATGTCTTGTTGCTCGATTGGTTATTCTCCTCTTTCTCCCGCAAATTGTGCCGAAAAAAAATAAAAGGAGAGGAGGGGGATCAAAAGGGAGCGGAAAACTTGGCTTCATTAGTTGGTGCCAGCAAGGGTTGCCCTGAGGGCGTTTTCAAACATCTATTCTCGACGTCATGATTCAAAATTGAAGGGCTTGAAACGTACAAAAACATACACATATACTATAACAAAGACATACATGACGGTCAGTCTGCATACCTAATCAGTTTTGAAAAGAAATGAAAAAACAACAACGATTTTGGCAAAGTCTATTCATGCATGGATGCAACTTGAAAGGGAGGGTTTGATGAATGGCGATTTTGTTACTGAACTGCCTTGTGGTATCATTGCTATTGTATCTATCATACACCCATCTCTAGCTTCCTAGCGAATATTACTACACCTGCTCAACCCATTTAAAAAAAAGACGTCAAAGGTCCAAAGAACCCATCTTGTCCGCCTCATACTCGAATGACCAGTCTTCTTCGCTGTCGTAGGCATCCAATATGCCGTCAATGTCACTTCCAAAGTCCTCCTCAGCCATTCTTTCTATCTCCTCATATCGCCCAATCGTCGCCAATTCGCTTGTTGGTGAAAATTGTTGCGACACTGGCTCAGATATTAAGATAATACTCTGATAAGCATGCTATACTGCGCCGTTGAGTAGATACTCGATAGCACCCTGGACGTTGCCACCACTTCTCCGTAAGGCAGAGACATTACGGTCAAATTCGTAGAAGCCCATTTCATTGAGCTGTCTCAGTTGTGTCTCGTAAACCTCTTCCGGTGGTCGGTTGTCAGCCGGTGGTGGGGGTGAACCAAATCCACCAGGACCAAAGAGAGCAGCAAAAGGGTTGCCAGCTGGTGCTTGGCCGGCACCACCTGCAGCAGCGAATGGATCTGCTCCAGCGCCTCCACCCATCATCTGCATCATGTTACGCATGGCTTCTGGGTTCTGCATCATTCGTTGCGCGGCCTCTGCGATGGGATTGGTCTGACCGCCTTGCGCGCCGGCACCACCGAACAAGTTTGGAAAGGTGCTTGAGGCATCTTGTGTATTTTGTGGAGCACCAGTGTTTGCGCCCTGCTGTTGCTGAGGGGCGAATGGATTCTGACCTCCCGCGAACAGGCTAGCGAATGGGTTGGCTCCGGCTCCGGCTCCAGCACCTCCACCAAAGGCGGCAAATGGGTTTGGTGGTGTGTTTGTATTAGTTTGGTTGGGTGTCGCGGTGGCGCCCTCGCTTGTTGCCGTAGAACCTGATTGCGGTGTGTTGTCCGTAGCACCAGGCGCTGGGAAGCTAGGTGGAGCACCAGGCGCACGTCCACCCATGTTCCGTTGCATTTGCAACTGCATGCGCATCATCTCCGGGCTGAACATCATACGGCGCATTTCGGGGTCTCGCAGTACTTGCTGAAGCATTGGGTTGTCACGGATCTATCATGTGTCAGACGGAGTAAAAACAAGGCTGACAGGAGACGTACCATGGGACTTTGCAACATCATATCGACTACCGCTGGGTTGTTCATAGCCTCGTTTAGCTGGGACAGAAACATGGGGTTCTCCATCTGTTCGAGCATGGATTCGGTGGTCGGCGGTGGGCCCATCTGGTGCATGTCAGCATGATTTCCCTAGGTCGTATAGATTTGAATGAACTCACGCCTCCGTCTGGACCAAACATGTCCATACCAGGCAAGCCATGAAATCCGGCATAGCGCGCACCCGTGAGTCCCGCAAGAGGATTGTTGCCTGTTCCGGCGGCGATGTTGGTGGGTACCTGAGGAGTAGGTGTGGTGCCCGTGCCAGCAGTGCTTGCAGTGCCCTGGCTTGCGGGATTCTGTCTCGCATTACTGGCAGCGCCCTTGACGAGATGTACTGTATGCCCATCCTTGATCTTGACGCTTGCCAGTGTGTCAGGGTCCTTGAGCACGCGGCCCGAATATATCAGACGTTGTCGGTCAGCGGGTACATCTGCGTATTCCGACGTTGAAAGCTTGGCCTTGAGGTCGGCGACGGTGGTGGTGCTGGACAGAGTGAGGACATGCTTCTGGTCGTTTGCGGCCTTGACATTGAAGGTTATCTGCGTTTCCTCGGCGGACGTGGCGGCGTCGTCAGCCATGGTAGCTATTTGTTTCGCACGAGCGTGAGTAGCGAGGGGATTGTGTATAGTCTTGGACTATTTGGCGGCGGAAAGAATACTGTGTCTCCGGAGCGAGATACGTGTGTTGGCGAGAAGAACAGGTGTGTTGAAGCAGACGGAGTGGCTGTGAGTAGCCCTGGATTCGATTGGAAGGCGGTAGAACGTCACTGGCCCCCGCCAACACTACCACTTACCCTGGCATCATTAGCGCGTAGCCGTGCATGGCTTTGCGGCTGTCGCTGACTAAGGAAGTGCTCCAAGCTCTATGTGGAGCGGGAGCGGAGGTCGTCCGGGGTATGCAAGCCGAGGTTATCCATGTCGCAATGGACCGTCTCGGTCTTTCACTGTCGCACTACCTCCTACCTCTACTCCCTTTGGATTGACTTTTGTGTCTGCTATTGAACCTTGAGCCTCCATTGACATCTCGACACTACGTCACAACTATCAGTCGAATTCCCATTCCTCCAATATGAAAGGTATACAACTCAAGGAATATGTCAAGGTAACAATGCCTGATTCAATTCCCTCTTCGTTTTTTCTAAGAGTCGCAGGGCCCAGAGGACCTCAAAGTCCTTGATCTACCCACGCCCGAACCAAAACCTGACGAGTACCTAATCGCCATTCACGCTTCGGGAACGAACTTCTTCGATCTCCTCCAAATCCGAGGAAAGTACCAACACCAACCACCATTTCCATGGGTAGCTGGCTCGGAATTCTCGGGAGTCGTGCTGAAAGCGCCCACTTCTCTGCCGGGAGGCAAGACGCCCAAGTTCAAGGAAGGCGACAAGGTCTTTGGTGCTGGACAGGGTGCATATGCGACACATATTGTATCCACAGAAGAGAAGCTAAAGGGTATGCCTGAGGGCTGGAGTTTTGAGGATGCAGCTGGCGTCTTTGTCACAGCACCTACAAGTTACGCTGGGTTGGTTGTCCGGGCCGGAATCAAGAAGGGTATACCTTACCACCAAACATCTAGCCATACTAGTTATCTAACATATTTCCAGGTGACTGGGTGCTCGTTCACGCCGCAGCTGGCGGTGTCGGCCTAGCCGCGGTTCAAATCGCAAAAGCCTTCGGCGCAACTGTCGTCGCCACAGCTGGTAGCCCCCACAAACTCGACGTCGCACGATCATTTGGTGCCGATTATACCGTCTCATATCGCGACGCTGACTGGCCTGAGCAAGTCAAGAAGATCACGCCCAAAGGCCGCGGCGTAGATATCGTCTACGACCCTGTTGGTCTCATCGCGCAATCCATGAAGTGCACCGCCTGGAACGGACGCCTGCTTGTTATTGGTTTTGCAGCCGGCGATATTGAGAAGATGGCTACCAACCGCATTCTTCTCAAGAATGTGAGTGTTGTGGGATTGCATTGGGGCGCCTATGCGATCCACGAACCAGAAATGCAGGATGTAGTCTGGGATGGTATATTCAAGCTGGTCAAGGAGGGCAAGTACCGAGGGACTGCATTTACGGATCAGGAATATGTAGGCTTGGAGAGTGTGCCTGCTGCATTGAAGGCACTTGGTGGTAGGGATAGTTGGGGCAAAGTTGTTGTTAAGGTCCCGCAGTCCGGCGGAAGCAAAATTTGAGATGCTTCCCACCTCCTATGTTTAGCTATTGTATCATGACCAGTATATTGTTCAATCAAACCATTTCATTACAGGCTATTTGCTCTCTCGAACAAACCGCACAACCATAACTTCAAAATTCATACTTCGATCATGCCACCGGGCATCCCTGGGCAGTCTCAACCCTGCCATTTCCCTCGTGTAGCTCTTCTCCACAACCTCTCCATCCCAACTCAGCGTCTCCTTGCCCACATCAAACCTCCAAGTCTTCGCACACTCCACAACCCGACCCAATTGATCTTTCTTCTCCTCAAATGTCTCCAGCACCAGTTCCAAGACCCACAGATCAGGTAACAAAGAAGTAACGTGTGTGCCCCAGCACTCTACATTAAGACCCAGATTCAGACCTACTCTGCGATCGCTTGCTAGTATTAGCATTTCACCTGTTGATCCGCGGGAACGAAAGGGTGCACCAAAAGTAGGATCGAGACGGAGGTTTTGGTGCGGATCGGTGGATGCTGGGTCGTCGGTCCACGTCCACCAGTCTCGAGCTGCGAGGCGTATAGTAAGATGGGTTATCTTGCCCGCAAGGCAAACGCGCGAGCGGGATGAACAAGGCTGCGCACTAATTGCTGGGACAGGTGGGCTACTTAGCACAGAGTCGATGGACTGGGGTCGTTTATCGGATGTCTTTGTAACAGCGGGTATGAGGACGTTGCCAAAGGAAATGGGGTAGTCTCCAGTCTTCCTGTCATCAAAATCCTGGAGGATAAGAGCTTGCTGGGGAACAACGTAGCAATTTTCATGTCGAGCCTGTGCTTCCCACTCTTCCAAAGCATTTCTTAGCGCTCCGTTTTCTAGACTCATTTGCGGGAGTTTGATGTCCAGTCGCGTTATCTGTGCGACTTACCAGGGCAGTAAGAGATGCCTCTTCACCTGTTCTCTGAGTTCGGTGATGATAAAGGGGTTTACACGCAGCGGCTTTTGGTATGTCTCGAGATATACCGCTTTGCATGTCAGAAGGAGGTTGAAGGCGATATCAGACGGATAGAAAAAGCCTGTTCGCACGCTTCCACGGTGAAAATAGCGATCTAGACGTGCTCCTGGATCTTTGTTTGCTGCAGGCTCGCGGTCTATGGGACAGGATGTTGTGTCTTTGAGAGCGAAGGTGAAGATCAAATCTCGAATCTCTCCCGGGATCAGTGAGTAGAGAGAAGATTCGCTTTGGTCTTTGACCTCAGAGGGAGATATGGACCAAGCGAGGGGCTCTTTGCACTTGGCGACAATTGGGCATGTTCCAGGTCCCAAGTCGGAATCGCAGTTGCATTTCGGGTTTAATACTTTGCGTTTCTCTGTGGCCTGCTGTTCCGCTCTTCGACGCGCAAGTGTGCAACCAGCGCAATTCATGCACGCGCCAGAAATCATGATTTTAAATCTTAGGAATTTTTGGTTTCGAATGGTTTCGAGATTTCGTATATAGACTGAAAACGGAAATGCGATGCTTTTATGTACATGGGCGAGACGTCGCACTAGCGCGTTGTTGCCTTGGAGAATCTAGGCGTCGGCGGCGTTAAGGCTTCCCGTAACCGGTAATAATAGCCACACCATTGATTCGTGCGCACATTTGCCTAAATTCCATGTTGGTCTGAATGCCATGAATCTAAACATTCGGTGAGATTGTGTGGAGACATATACACGACAAATGAGTCTTCCTTCTTCTCAGACAAGTCATACAGCATTTTGCCATACAAGTGCTCAACTCTTTGACAAGAACACGATACTTGAGCTCCATTGCTCGGAATGTTGGACTGGTTTGCTAGCATTTGGAAATGAGATATCACATTGAATATGTTGGAGAACGCGGACAGTCGAAACGGAGTAGGCGATATGCCCAGATTGGGGATTTCCAAGAAACTTAGCCGGACCGACGTAGAAGGGTTCGCGTAAATCCAAAAGGCTGGCAGTTGCTTTTTCGACACTCTCTCCAATTCTCAACACTTGCGTAATCACAAGATTACGCGGCGATCGCTATGTCATGGACATTACTGACATCACGGCTTCAACATGTGGAGTTCATCTTCATTCTCAGGATAGGATCTAAGTATTCAATCTAGTATTCTGTGTTTCATTGTAAGAAACTAGCAAAATGCCTTAACCGATCATCATTGTCGTTACTGGCTCAAATAGCGGCATTGGCCAAGGCATAATAAAACTGCTTGCCAAAACCCGATATCCACAACGATTATACATCTGCGCTACATCTCGCAGCGGCCTAGACCTCAAAATTCAACCATTGCCTCCAAACGAGATCCGATACGTCGAACTCAACATCTCAGACACATCCTCCATCAGAACATTCATCAGCAACACTCTACAGAAAGACAGCAAAATCGACGTCTTAATCAACAACAACGGGGAGACACCCGAGCTAACCGAACGAACGGTTAATATCAATTACTATGGCACAAAAGAAATGTGCCAGCTCTTCCTCACCCAAGGAGAAATGAACAAAACGCCGAATTCGCGCATAGTAAACGTCAACAGCACTGCCTCTTCCCTTTCAAACAACACTTCCCCCATACAATCGCGTTTCCCCTCTGTAAAGTCAGTTTCAGTCATCGATGCCTTAGCTCAAGAATACATTTACGCCGTAAAGTCGCAAAAGCAGGAGGAAGCTGGCTTTGGGGCACCGCCGAAATCATACCAAGTTAGTAAAGCATTTACAAATGCGTTGACATTAGTGTTGGCGAGAGACAATGAGGGTGTGGCAGTGAATTGCTGTTGTCCTGGGTGGGTAGATAGCGATATGGGAAATCAGATTGGGAAGCCGCCGAAGACATTGGAGGAGGGCGCAAGGATACCTGTTAGACTTGGGATAGGCGATTCAGGGGAGGGCGGTAACAAAGACGGAGGCCTGGATAGCGATAGCAAGGAGAAGGTTAGCGGAAGGTATTTCGGAAATGACGGTGTGAGAGATAAAGGGTGGAGGGAGAGCAAGGCAGCGGTAATTATATCTCAATAAACTATCAATTCCACTTGTGGTACACTTATTTAATAGCAATGAAGAAGAAATGACGCAGTAATCTCAATCCAAAAACCATTTCGGCACCTCCGGCCCCCAAACAGCCAAACTCTCATCCCCGGCCTCTCCCCATCCCACAGGCGTATCCTCATTCACCAAATCTCCATCTGCATAATGCTCAATCATGTTTCCCGTAGTATCCCACCAATAATCAAACAACTGGCTCCCCAGGATATGCCGGCCTACGCCCCAAACGCTCTTGTAGCCCTGCTGCGCCAACCACTCATGCCCCAAACTCTGCGTGTCGAAATCATGAACCTCGAAACTGCTGTGGTGTACATGCGATGTAGGGTTTGAAGAGAAGAAGATGGTGTGGTGGTCGGTGTAGCCCGGTCCGAGATCGATATGCGCGAAGATGGCTACGTCTTTTTGCTGGGGGGGCGATGTGGGGTCCTCTGAGGGTACGTTGACGTATAGGAAATCAGTGGGTACAATGTTAAAAGTTCGAGTGTACCATTGCATCTCTTCCTGGAAATTTTGCACACAGAGACCGTAATGGCCGAGTTTGTGCACGGCTGCGGGCCCCGGTTTGAAACGCTGGAAGCGAGCGATGCGGGGTTTGTCTTTTTCGTAGTTTGTGGTCAGGATTTCAGGGAAGGGACCGGGCTCCTTTTTTGTTTGGCCAAATATGAGGTTGATAGGGAAGCCTTCCGGGTCGTGCAAGGTGACCATGGAGCCACCACCAGGGGCATCGGTCAATTCTTTGATCGGACTTGCGCCCGGGACTTTGGTTGCTTTTTCTAGTTCGGCGTAGCTTTCAACTTCGAAGCAACCTCCTAGGAACTTCTTCTCGCCTTGTTGTGCATAGTAGACGTATTGCTCGTCATTGTACCCCTTGAACCATTTCTTGCCTTCGGCCTTTTGGGCTACGCTCATACCAAAGTCGCGTAGGAACTTGGTGATTTCATCAAGATCTGGATGCTGGTATCGCATGTGTACCAGTTTGGTGAGTTTAATTTGCGCGTCGCGATCAATATTTTGTTCTTGTTGCCATTGCCGCAGTGGTTTGCAGGGTTTAGGAATGGCGACCGATTGAGGTACTGAAGATCCACGATTCGGCGATACTTCGCGACTAGAATTCTGAAAACATCATTAACATATCCTTTGTTTAGCAGTAAAGATGTAACGGTTGATGTTTGCTCGTGATTTGATGCATTCCTATACAAGATGGGAACGTGGAAGAGCGGATGTGGGGCCTTTGTGTAGACGTACTACCGGGGTGATCTTTTCGTTAAGTTCTTCAAAGGCCATGTTCGTTTGTATTATCTTTTGTATTAATAGGTTGGATTCTCGTGCTTTAAAATGAAGCCACAAAGGAAAGAATTTATCTCAACTGTGAAAGTTGTTGCAGAGAGGCGAGTGGGTACACGCATGTGGGGAGGTGAGACGTAGTACGCAATGCCGATGTGGGGTCCCGTCATATTGGTAGAAACACACCTGATGCCAAGTTATCGTTGCACTGGTTCCATGCGGCTCGGATTCTCCGAGCAGTACATACTATCAACACTTTTGTAGTGTATGTAGGCTCTAAAAGTTAGAATTCCATTTTCGACGGTCAAAACGCGTGCAAGCCTGCTCCTTTATCAGTCTATTTACATCCCTGACATTTGTTTCCTCCCATCGCATCTTCCATCAGCTGGTGTCGATTTGAGTTGCATGGGGTTGGAAAGCAGTGTGGCGACGGGATACCAGGCACAGGTCACGTGGCGTGGACTATGGCTGCAAAAAAAAGTACAAAACATACAACAGCGGGGATTCGCCAGTGGTCACCCGCCTGACTACTAGTCCGCCGGTCGAAAGCTTAACGTGCGGAGAACAAACGAGATCCAGTGGTCGTATGTGGAAGAATGCTGAAAATTTGAAGTTCAGAGACTCGGTTCCAAGAGCACAAAAGGGAAACGAATGGAGCAAAAGGCTTCTAATACACACGAAAAGATCAAGAATAGACGGAGATGAGCATAAGGTCGTCTACTGTGCAAGGGATAAGGGGCGTAGGATTGTTGTGGCAGATCTAGTCTTGTTCATTAGAAACACATGGACTGTTTCGGATGCGCGGACGGAATGTTGACATTGCAACTATTCTGACTTGGAGGTACGGACCGAGTTCTCAGCAAAATATCACTTTCCTAGATGAGGCCTAAAGCTCGATCATCTCTGACTCTGTAGAGACATGTTTGCTTTCTTCCACGAGTTTATTCAGCCATGTACCCAACCTGAGTGCAGCTTTACTAATCTGCAATTCGATAAGAGGAACAGCACTCATCGCGTACCCATTTGTTGCAAGATCGGTATCGTTTCGCACACGCTTATACACAAAATCGCAATCCCAATGATTGCTCTCTTTCGCCCAGGTTGTTGCGCATTTCTCTGGAGTCGAAGGATCCACGCATGACAGCCACATGTATGGTGCAGAGTAGAATTCATCCTTCCGAATGCGCGAAACAAGGCCAGTGAAAAAGGCATCGATGGACTGGTTAGAGAAGGGATGGCTGACATCTGCCGCATAGTATGGTATATAGCCATCCCAGACCTGTGTCGATGAGCATTGGATAATTCACTTCAGCCGATAGACAAGACTTACGGCATGTAGTTGGGTAGAGACGTTTCCAAAAACTACTTTATAAGTGTTACCGCCTACTGCGCGTCCGCTCGCATGTAGAGGCTGGTGGATATCTCCGAAGAAATGCGCCACCCATTTCAAAGCATAAGAGCAGGTCAGATTGGTCCCTCCTGTTAAATGACCCCTTTGAACCTGGTCTATGCATCCACGCAGGATGCTCGTCTGATTTGCGATAGCGCTCACTACACATCCACCAATGGCGCAGTCACGAGTGTATTCCAAGTAACATTTCTCTGGCGGGCTGTCATGCGTGTCGATCCAGTGCCATTGGTAAGAGAAACGACCTTCTTGGGTGTGTGCATAGGCGTCTGCCCATGCTGCTGAGCGCCCAACAGAGCCGTTATACTGTGGTTCGAGGATCTTAGAAAGGACTGTGGTGGTTTCTGGTGTGAAAAATGTCTCTGCCATAAAGCCGATTTGATTATGGACTGGGTTGACTCAGTAGGGGACATCTCAGGGTATGGCATCACAGCCTACCATCTGTATTCCAAGCTGAAGCTGAAATCAAGAGCGATGCTCCCGCCAATACAACACTTGCACGCATCATGTCGAAATGCCAATGAAACTGTCGTTTGACAGGGTTTCTGAAGAACGTAGGTACCAGGTCCAGTAAGGAGACGTGCTCCTTGCAGCCGTCAAGGCTTGTGGTTAGGAACGAAGAACTGAAGACGGTACAATAGTCACTTGGATGTTAAACTAGATGAACAGAAGTCTGAAGTAAATGCAGGATGAGCTGGTGCAGGTTTGCGTACTGTCTTGTGCGAGACTTGGAAACAGCACGTTGCACGTTCGGCGCATGTGTCGACGCGTGATGCGTTACGATGACGCGCCAGAGCCGAACATAGTTGCAGGGTAACGGCACTAGTCCCAGAACAGTCAGGTACGTACGATGTGGTACATCAGTTCTTGTCACCCCACGGCATGTCGCGAAGATGGCATCAAATCGCAACAAACCTTTCTCATCCTTCAGCAACCACTCTTTATAAAATCTACTGTTATCTGCTCTTGTTGTTCTTCGATTCACCTTTTACGCCCCAAGTTAAGCATCTATCGTATATCGTTACTTGTTTCGTTTCTTTGTCGATGTCTGTTTCTAGCTGAGTAGGAATGCTTTTTCCAGGTTGGCAGTAGTATGAAAAAAGGCCAAATTCTGTTGAATGTGTACAACCGCCATTCCCTAGCCTCTGAGCACCAATGCATCGCTGGATATGCAACAGCACGGCGACACGATGTTGAATCTTATTTATTCGGGATAGGCAAACCAAAACTTGAAAATCCGTAACCACCTACTCTTCTGGCTCAACATTAACATCAACCCCATATTCGTCCACAACCCAGGCGCAAAACTTCTCCCACTTGCTGACCCACTCCTTTAACCTCTGCGCACGGATGCCCTTGCCGAACATGCCATCCTTAATATCCTGTGTCCAATCTTTTGCAGTATAATCGTCAAGACTAGCCCAACGCACACTGTTCTCTGCGAGGGAGCCCAGACCCTCCAACCCCAGATTCTCCCAACCCTGGAGCGCCTGCCAGAAATCATGCGACATACCCGATACACCCTGGCCCAAGATTGTTGGATCGTCGTTACACAGCGAACAAGGGACGCCGCGGGAAAGCAGCGCTGGCAGCGGATGTGACATGATGCTTCCACATAACCTCAACACTTCGTTGGAAACTGGACAGCTTTCCACCAGGATCCGTTTCTCCTTGACCATATCAATTAGCAGCGGATGTTTGTACAAACTGAAGCCGTGACCGATGCGTCGAGTACCGAGGATAATGGCGTCGAAGAGGTTCTCATCTACCGAGTCGCCATCACCAAGCGTCTCACCCGCATGGAAGAAGAAGGGTATGTCAACACCTTCTTGTGCGCATGCTTTGCGGAACCAGAAGAGTTCAGGAGCCAGATCTGAGAGAGAACGTCCGAGATCTTCCTGCCCGACGAGGTCGTAACCTGCGATGATTTCGGGGAATTCGAGTTTCATTTCTATGCATTGCTTCATACCTGGTGCGCTGTTAGTGAGTGAAATTGTGTTTTTGAGACATTTAAGTATATTGACTGCGTTGATGCTGTGTGACATACTCTCAATAACTTGTTTGGTTCCAAACTGACGGATAGTCGTCCAGATCATTCTCGCGCCCCAAAACTCTTTCCCTTCTTCACTCGCTTTGAACTTCTCAATCTCGTCGGCCATGTGTTCGAGCATGTGAAACCAGTCTTCGTCCCACGTTTCTTTTCCTGCGCTGCGATACGGGGTGTAGAAGGCTGACCGCATGTCTACATAGTAGACCCCATCATCAAGTAACTGCTTGCACATATTTCGGATGAACTTGCGGAAAATGGGCTCATAGTAAATCAATGAGCCAAGAATAGGGAAACACGACATGAACTTCCGCCATACTTCGTTGGGTCCTTCATGATGGGAAAGGTGTTCAGACGGTGTGATGGTAACGCGTGAACGAATCCACTCGACAAAGGCCTTTTTGCCTCCATTTGGAAAGCTGTCTGCAGCTTGGTTGACAGCAACCGGTGTTTTGGCGGTATAGCTCTCATTCCAGATGGAGCAGTCAGTTTTGACCACTTTGGAATACGTGAACGAGAAACCGGTCTTGCGCCTTGTCTGGTCATCGACAATAGGGCCATCGGCTACCAAACAAACACCCTCAGTTTTAAAAGCTTCCTCAAGTGCCCAATCAAGATCAACCATGGCCTCTAGATGACAGTGCAACAGTGTGCCTTTTGGCATTTTCTTCACTATCTGCCACAGCTTACTCTTCTCTATGCGCTCCTTGGCAAGTGAGAACATCATACCGGGAAACACATCGACATGATCAGTCAGCAAACTGTCTTCGTATTCCTTGGTCCACAGCGTTTGTTGCTCCTCGAACCGGATTTGAGAGACAATAGCGCACGCTTCCTGTGCCATAGGCGAGAGATTTTGGCGGAACAGATAGTCTGCCAATTGTCAGACCCACGGTACTGAGGCATGAAAACGGAAAGCTGGGTCCACAAACCACTTCGCTGTCTCTTCTCTTGCTGGACGAGCGCATCCCTGCCCTGTAGATACTGTTGGATAAATGGATCGCTTAAACTCGGGACACCTTCCGCCTGCGCCCATTCCTCGTCGTTTGCAGGTTCGTTCGTCGCCATGTTTGCGTCTGTGTGGAAAGTGGCAGTCGAGTGCAAATTGAGGCCGAAAAAGAGTCCGACCAAGGAAATATTGAGTGAGTTTGCTGCCTTGGTGTTTTCCACTACTTCCTTCCCGAACGGCGCTAGTGGATGCTGATATAATACACCTCAGCCTTACCCGAGAAAGCGCCTCTACCGGACGGATGCTATGGCGGCAGTTGCAGCGTGTAGTGCATGCAGGGGAAAACGGCGAAGAGACTGCTGTATAGCCCCGAAAGTCTTTTCCACCAGACGCCTGTGAGCTCGTCAGTCGTGCAGCGCTGGCAATCCCACGCGTTATCACGCGCTCGGCCCTTATCGATTGCCTAGCGCGGTGTCGATGCACGCGCGGGGCGCTGCAGCGGTGCAAGTGATGGTGTGCACGGCCGCCTGCGTTCTCATAGCGCATCATCTGCACCCATACATACGCACCTGCACTTGAACCTGAACCGCTAATCCCCCGGCCTCCGTCGTGTGACTCTCCGGCACGCACTAACAGCTTTTTCTCGTCATAGCATCATACAGCCTCACTAATCTTGTCCAGTGTGCTTGTACTGCTACTCCAGAACCCCCCTACAATCCAACCACCACCGCCTACACAGCACCACGACTTGGCAGGCACAACTCTACATAATCCTACTCATAGAGGTGTAAAAGCGCCTGGCGCTCTGCATTCTTTGCTAGGGCTACCAGCACCACCGTTCATCACTTATGGAGCCCCTTCGCTCTCAGCGATAGGCGCACGAGCTGCCTAAAGTGAACGACTCCGGCAACTCCACCGCCAGTCTCCCAAGGGACTATGGCCTTCTTCTCCGGACTTTCGAGCTCCATCGGCAGGAAGCTACTCCTGTACGGTCTGCGCCAAATCGACATACTCGACAAGGATCCCGCCGACTTTGTAAGCGTTGATGTCGGCAAGCGGACAACACTCGAGGTCCGCGATGTCGGGCTACACATCAAGGTGGGTGATGCAGGTACCAATATTCACACATCACTGTGCTGATGATATTCGTAGAAATTGGTAGCATTGCTACATCTCAAACTACCTCATGAAATCCATCTGTCAAAAGCCCAAGCCTCGTTACTCCGAGTCACGTTCATCCTCGACTTCGGCGTACCCCGAATATCGATTGAAGTGGATGATATACAGATACAGGCTAGACTATTGGAGAATGCCGGCGATGACGTTTCAGCTCATCCCACTGAGCATCCGGACCCATCCCAACCATCGCCACCTCGACGGAGAGCCTCGCCACCACCCACCCGAGACGATTCGAGCGACCCCGGCTCCTCGGAAGAGGATGACTATGTGCCAACAGTGGACGAGCTAGCAAATTCCTTCCTACGGACGGAACCTGAAGAGGAGATACGCGAACTGCAGGAGGAGCTGGCATCTCAAGCGTCATATATGCAAGAGTCAATCGCATCAAGCGATGATGGCGACGACAATTCTGCTGGCATGGGAGCCCCGCTGGCACTTCCAGCATATCTGCGAAACATCCTTAATACCGCCTTGGACCGCCTCAGTATCGCGGTCAATGATATCAACATTGAGCTGGAAGATCAGTCTCCAAAAGATACTCCAGACTCATCAAGGTCGATCCAAAGCTCGCCCGCTGCCCTCAGCTTCCATGTAGAACGCGTTGCCATAGACTCGATAACTTCCAAGGATATACGTGTAGATTTGGGCTCAACAACAGTTCCTGACGCTTCCAAGCTGGGTAAACGAAGAATGCGTGTTGAGAACATTTGTGCACGTCTTGTATCTGATGTGGAGAATTTTGTCTCTTTATCGAGGTTTTCGCAACCGTCCTCACCCCTTATGACTCGGTCAGAAGTCTCGACTAGCCAAAAGTTCTCTGGGGAACCGTCCGCGAGTTACATGTCCCGCCATTCCATTCGTGGGGAGTCTGTGCACTCTACACAGGAAGAGCCCAGTCTTTCCATACACGAAAAACCTAGTCACTCCATACACGAGGAACCCAATCGCTCTGTACACGAAGAGCCCAGTCGCTCCATGCATGGGGTACCTGATCGTTCCGTTCACGAGATGCCTGACCGCTCCATACACGAAGAGCCTAGCCACTCCACATATGAAGTATCTAGTCAATCCGTACATGAAGCAGAGATAGATCCTCTAGGGCTATCGATAGATGAGACTCAAGCTAGTCCGGTCGCTTCACTTCTGCAAGCGCCCGTAAGCCCGCGCAACATCTCCCCACCCCCTCCCCTATCACCTGATCTGCCGCAGCTAGATCTATCCGTGCACACTGTAGACGATGATCGTTTTGCAGATGCGAACTCCGACGATGGCCCAGACGACAGCTCAGTGAATGGCTCACCCAGTCAGTCTCGTCAGTTTTTGCCTCCGCGTGACCTAACCGAGAGCAATCTGCTTTACGACGACGAAGGATTGCTTGACTATGCGATGCAGAACGGTATGCTCAACTTCCAACTCGAAGATGAGCCAGTCGTTGAAGCCTCCGCAAGGGCTCCGAATACCTGGGAATTGAACGATGCTGCTTCAAGTCAACATACTCGGATATCAGAATCTGCTAGTGATGGTTCAGCTTCTGGCCTACCCACTGTATCTGCCTTGGGACGTTCGTTTCGCCCTCCAAGCGTGACCAACTCGCCGTCACAATCGGGATACTCTGAGAGAGCCCAAGGCTCTATCGACAATCTAGTTGTAGCGCACCAACACCCCGCGGAAGATGCACAAAGTCCTGCCAATAGCACACATTCAAATCCTCCGTCGCCACCGGCAGAAGAGGATTTGTCTGAATCAAAGTTTTTCACTCATGACGAGGCTGAAAGCATGTACATGAGTGCGGTGAGTGCGGCACAGGGAAGTTCGATACAGCAGGGGCATGTCCCTGGAGGTTGGGATTCTTCATCAGCATCAAGTAAAGACTCTACTTCAGACAAATCTGGGCCGATCCCTGAGGAAATGGTTTCCGCTAGTACATTAGCGCCAGCAATAGAGACTGAAGACGGTTGCGAAACCCCTCGTCCACGAAGTCGGCAGAGCTCCTTCTCGTCTTCACATACTGGGCGCGCACAAACCCCTGGTCCTGCTCCTCCAGCTATTCAAAGGCAGGCAAAGCGATTGCTCACAATTGATGAGATTACGATTTGGTTTCCCATGGGCCTTAACGATGTAGACGACGACAGCGGAGGGCATGAGGATGTTACTGAGTCGGCGACTTTTGAGTTCAAACCATCAAATCTGGGCGAAGATTCGATATTTGCAGAAATGCCTGGATCATTCTCCAATTACGCCTATTCCTCGTCGCATCGCAAGAAGCCTTCATTAGACGCCTCCACTCGGGTGCGAGCTACGCCAAAGCCAGTACACCCACCCAATCCTCCAAAGCAACCTAAGAAACCGAAGGTCCCATCTATCAACATTGAAGTGGGATCGGTGGCTGGAAACATAGACTTGTCTACAGGTCGCATCATGTTCAGTATGTTCAATCGAATGATGCAAGCCCTGACTGGTGATCCGCGTCAGAAAGAAGACAAGCCCTCAACATCAGAGCCTGCTGCAGGCTCCAAAGAAAACACGACCGATTTTGAGCTGGCTGTCAAGCAAATAGCCTTCTCGTGGCTTGAAAACATCGCGACAGAATCTGTTCAAAAAGGACATGTGCCCAGTTGGCAACTCGATCCTAAGCCAGTGGACGCCATATTAAGAGTCCATCTCTCGAAGATCCTGGTCAGCCAACAAAGCATTTCAAAGGAGTCGCGATCTCAGATACGTATTGGGAAATTTGTCATTGCATCTTTGGATCAAGACATCATTTCCTTCCAAAGTTTGAGACCGAAGTCCAAGAGAATGAGCGGCACTGTGGCAGAGCAGCTCAGCAGTGACGTGGAAGTGGACTTCGTACGAGGGAAAGATGATCGTATTACCGTCGTGACACGACCTGTCAAGGTCATGTTTGACATACAAAAGCTGGACGACGCGCTTGGCTCATTTGGTGGCTTCAGCGGTATGCTGGAGCTAGGTAACTCCTTCAGCTCTGCCAGCGCCTTGCAAAGTCCCGTCATGTCTCCATCACATCCTCGGCCCCGTGGGGTTCATTTCGGCAATGGATTGCCACCTCCAGCAAAAGAGTCCGTGGCACCCGCGCCACCCGTCAATGGTCCCAAGATCCAGGTGCAGTTTGGCGAAGTTTCTTTCACACTAAAAGGAAAAGCATGTTCTGTGCAGCTGCAGACTACATCAGTGCGTATTGCAGTACGTCAAAGCAATGTCCGTCTCAAGGTTTCTGAGCTCCAGCTCATAGGACCCTACACGGAAGTCGGTCAAGGCAATGCACCTTTCATCGCAGAGCTGAAAGGAACCACTCTCAACTTCCTCTTTGCCCCTGAAGAGACAGATTTGACAAGACTCATTTCCATGATAACGCCATCGAAGGACCCGTACGAGAACAATGACGACATCCTCATCGATACGTTGTTGCGCCAACGGAGAAAAGGCTCAGTCCTTCGGGTTGAGTTTGCCCAAGTTGGAGTCCGTATCTCTGACCTAGAGCAAATGAAAACCTTTGAAGCACTTGGCGCAGAGTTGGCACAATTATCCAAAGTAGCCAAATACTTGCCTGATGACGACCGACCAGGTCTACTGAGTTTAGTGTCGGTGAAGACATTGGACATGCGTGTAGTCGTAAACGAGAAGCTTGGAGATCTTTCCGTTACCTTACAAGACAGTGCGCTGGCTCACGTAGGAGTTCCTGCTTTGTTGGCTACCGAAGTCGGAAAGGCAATTGTATGTCGGGATGATGAAGTGCTGATCCATGAAGTCGTAAAGATGCGCCCGTCAGAGCAGTTACCTGCAATTATGTTGAGAATGGTCGGTGACGAGATGGAGCCTGTGGCGAAGGTGAAATTCTACAATCTCTGCATCGAATATCGAGTAACGACCGTCATGGCCGCCCTGGGCATCTCGGAAGATGGCACAGTTGACGATATTGCATTGGAAGTTGCATCAAGCGTTGCAACCATTACAGGCGCACATTCGCCTCAAACACTTAGTCGACAATCTTCGCAGGCAAATCCGCCTTCTGGACCTACCGCTAAGCCGCTACAGCTCGATCTTCTAATGAGAAACTGCGCGATCGGTCTGAATCCCCGAAAAACTTCATCGAAAGGCCTTTTCGTACTTACAGAAGCGCACATTGCGGGCAAACAGGCAAAGAACAACTATTCAGTCACTGTGGAACTTCGTAAGGCTTCAATGCATGCCATAGACGATGTGGCTCGTTTGGAAGACGAACATCAGCCGGCATCACCAATCTCAACGATGAACCGTCAACTCTATGAACTCAGTGAGCTGGGATATGTGTCTCTCAGCTCAATCTCGGCTGCTAAGGTGTACGTCAACATTGCAGGCGACGGGAAAGAACAACCACAGTTAGTAGATATTGAGTTCAAGAACGAGCTTTTTGTCATAGAGTCATGCGCAGATTCGACACAGACTCTTATTGCCATTCTGAACGGCCTGCAACCACCATCACCACCCTCGACAGCTGAGCAGTACCGAACAGTTGTGCCACTACAGCAGATGATGGAATCTTTTACGGGTGATGCGTTGGCGCAGGACGAAGACATGGAAGCCGATGATTTCATGAGCAACGCCGATCTTGTAGAAGATGATCTCCCAACTAACCTTGAATTTGTTGGAAGCATCTACAATTCACAGTCTTTGCCAACTGAAGAAGAGATGGGAGATAGTCTGCTCGGTGAGGATGACCTCGGTGCATTGGCGACACCTCCCACCACCCGCCAACGTGGCGAACGGGCATTACTGGAAAGCTTCCAAGAAAAATATGAGATCACACAAGGCGAGGAAGACTTTGACTTTAGCGAAGAGTATTTCAGGGACGCAGACACGGAGCAAAAGGGCAAAGCTCGAAAGTGGGATTCTGCCAAAAACCAGTACCATCTTTCGAACGAGTTCAAAGCTCCAGATGCGCCACTCAAGGTTCGCGTCCGCGACGTCAATGTCATCTGGAATCTCTATGATGGTTATGACTGGCCAAGAACGCGCAGTATCATCAGCCAAGCTGTAGATGATGTCGAAGCCCGCGCCGAGGAGCGGCGACGGAGAGTCAGGGAAGAAGATGAGGATGATGACTTTGTCGAGGAAGACTTCTTGTTCAACTCCGTATGGATCGGCGTTCCTGTAAAAGACGAGAAGGGAGCTCTCGCCCGGCGTATCAACCACGATATTGACGATCTAGCCAGCGAGACCGGTAGTTATGCCACCTCGACGGCAACACGCTCTACAGGGGCTACTGCTCGACCACGTGGCACAACCAAGTCTAGACGTCGGCTCAAGCTGGAGCGAAGCAAGCACAAGAAGATCGCATTTTCGCTTGTTGGCGTTGCAGTAGACCTTATCGTCTTCCCGCCGGACTCAGGAGAGACGATAAATTCAATAAACGTGCGAGTGCAAGACCTTGAGGTTTTCGACCACGTGCCTACGTCAACTTGGAAGAAGTTTGTTACTTGTGCAATTGATCCAAGCACTCGAGAGCTCATTCGTCCTATGATCAATCTTGAACTCGTTACAGTCAAGCCAGTCACGGACTTGGCAGCATCTGAGCTCGTAATAAAGGTGGGTTCAAAGTTTATTAGATAAACAGCGTATTCTAACAAGATTAACAGGTCACCATACTTCCGCTTCGGCTGCATGTGGACCAAGATGCTCTAGATTTCATCACGCGCTTTTTCGAATTCAAGGATGATTCTGTACCAGCTGCTCCCCCAGCTGGTGATCAGCCATTTATCCAGCGCCTTGAAGTAATGGCCGTCCATTTGAAGCTCGACTACAAGCCAAAGCGCGTAGACTACCGCGGTCTTCGTTCAGGACACACTACCGAGTTTATGAACTTTCTGATACTTGATGGTTCTGACATTGTCCTGCGACACGCAATCGTTTACGGTATCACATCGTTTGACAAGCTGCACAAGACACTGAACGATGTATGGACGCCAGATGTCAAAGAAAATCAGCTTCCGGGAGTTCTTTCTGGTTTGGCGGCTGTGCGACCATTGGTAAACGTTGGCTCTGGACTCAAGGACCTCGTTGTCATACCGATGCGGGAGTACAAGAAGGACGGCCGCATCGTCCGCAGTTTGCAAAAGGGCGTCTACGCTTTCGCCAAGAACACGACTTCGGAAGTAGCACGTTTGGGCGCAAAGGTAGCGATTGGGACTCAGAATCTGCTCGAAGGCGCTGAGGTTTTCCTCAACCCCCAAACAGCCTCGCCCGGTCGCCACCAATCCCACGAATGGGATGGTGAAGATCCAAACTCTGATTCCGAAGAGCCACGCGCAGTATCAAACTACGCGAACCAACCCATTGGTGTACGCGCCGGCCTACGCAGCGCAGCTAGACACCTCGAGCGCGATTTGCTCACTGCGCGCGACGCCGTCATAGCCATTCCAGCAGAAGTCATGGAAGAAGGCAGCGGAACAGGAGTAGCGAGAGCACTTGCTAGACATGCACCTACGGTTGTCCTACGCCCCGCGCTCGGTGCCACAAAGGCACTCAGCAACGCCTTGCTGGGTGTCGGCAACGCGCTTGATTCTGACTCGAGACGCAAGATTGAAGACGTAAGCTATCCCGTATTATTTGGTATCTAAGATGGCCAAGAGCTAATGATGACTTGCAGAAATACAAATCTTATTAGACGGTTGGACGCGGGGATTGTTATTTTCCCCATGTGTTTTTTTGGACCATGAACGAACACTTTGTTGCCTTTATGGCTATACCCTGCTCTTGGTTATTTTTGTCGTCGTTTTTTTTTGGGAGAATTTTTTGATCTGGTCAGATTGCGTGCATAGCGACGGATGGAGTTTCAAGATGCAAGGCTGGAAGGGGCGTCATCTGTCAACTTTCTTATCTGCGCATGTCTTTTTGCTTGTTTCAGTTTTTTGGTCGTTTTGTCGTTTTGTCCAACTGCTAGCATGGAGTAAATGCCATTATGACATTTTTTTTCTTCTTTTTTTCCTTATTTCATTTACTGGAACCACTTGGTTTTCATTACAGTCTGTTTGAGGACGCTCTTCCCCTTCGTTTTCCGCAAGACTAGAATGAGAGATATGGGTTAGATGCTTTTGGAACGTTGTTTCCTGGGAAATTCGTCATTGCATCATGTGATCGTCGTTTTTTCACATGCTCTCGTTTCGGCATGAGGGTTTGACACCAGGCGAATGGAAGACAGATTAGTGATCTGAGAATCAGCCCTGCTTATGTTTGAACCGAGGAAGACGTGGATATTGCCGAGATCACGGGACGTGGGTGGGTTGGGGTTTATATAGTACAAACGCCGAGGCATAGAAACTTGCGGAAGCATCGGATAGGATTGCAGCTTCTCATTCACAAACAATGGATTACAGGGGAAGTGAGAATCAAGTGAGTTATATGTTCGTTATTTGAATCGTAAATACTAAGTAGCAACCAGGTATCATTCAAAATGGTATCGCTTGATACGCTGTCCGTAAACAAAGTCGAAATACAAGATTTAGTAGGTATATCTGAAGCCCTTCTGGTCGCCATCCTGTTGGGACTTGTCAATATTCGTTCGGACAGATACAGCAAATAAGAGGCAAGACTTACATCGTTGTACTCGAGCTCAATCTCTCCACGATCGGCACGCTTGTTCAAGCTCCATGACCTCAGTGTAACGAGGCCGACAACGACAATTGACAGCAGGCAGCAAGCAATGCAAGCGTAAAGACCTGGCTTATAGTGGGGCGCATCTTGTGTCCTGAAAACAAGACCTCCTGCAATACCGCCTACTCCGCCCATACCGACAAGAATGGCGGAGCAGAAAGCACGCTTCCATTGACCCCTGATGTTGTTTGCCTGGTACGACATGGTGGCTGGGATGTTGCTGTTGGCTCCGGCAGTTGTGAGGAAGACGCCAAAGTACCTGATGTTGGCGTTCTTGTGGAAGCCCATGATGGGAAGTCCAATGAGGCAGAGTACCATGTTCGCGATGACGATGGGTCCACGGATGCGGTACTTGTCGCCGAGCCAGCCAGTGGTGTACATGACGATAGCGGCAAAGGCGTATGGGGGAGCAACCAAGCACTGAGCAGCACCGACTGAGAAGCCCATGTTTTGTGTTAGGATGATGGGAAGGAAGTAGGCAAGAGCATAGGTGACGGTGGTGGTGTTGAAGAAAATCTGGGCGAGTCAGTATGCAAGGTCATGGATTTCTAGTGTGGATGCTTGAAAACATACCAAGGCGAAACCCCAGATCTTGATGTCGGTTCCACCCTTGAGGAACCTCGCAAGCGAGAATGGCTCGGGCTTGGCATCACCACGATCCCTGTTGACACGGTCGATGATGAACTTGGCCTCTCGCTCGTTCAAGAATTTCCAGCTCTTGTGTGCCTTGTCTGGGAAGTCGACGAGGGCCCAGTAACCGACGATACCAAGGAAGCATGTAAGCGCGCCTTCGATGATGAAGATCCCTGCAGGAAGAATTAGATATCAGTGTCGCTTGAGGGAATGCGGTTATGAAGAAGAAACTCACAGCGCCAGCCGTTCAAGCCCTCACGTCCCTTGAGCTGCATCAGACCATAGGCGAGGATACCAGCACAGGCGGAAGCCAAACTGCCGAGGATGTAGAAGACCGAGTACCGCTTTCCGATATCGAAGCGAGTGTCTGTAGCAGTTGTCAATATGGATCCAAGAATCCGTGAAAAGGAGCATGCGTACACCATGTCGACAGCAGATAGACACAGCTAGGGAAAAATCCGGCTTCTAGCACACCTAGCAGAACTCGCAAGCCAGCCATGGTGCCATAGTCGTTTGCAAAGCCCATGCCAATCATGACACCACCCCATGCTAATACGATAAAGGAGAGGAAGTTGCGTGGTCCGAGGTAGCGGCAGATGACGGTGGCTGGGGGCTGGAAGACAATGTACGAGGCGAAGAAGACGATGGTGACAATGGAGTAGTGGGAGATTGTGCCCTCGAGGACATAGAGTTTCAATTCCGCAGTCATACTGGAAGGGGTTAGCTGGGAGTTCAAACAACAGCAGCAAGCATGGCTGGTACGGACCCAGCAATGGCAGCAGCACTCAGATTGGTGCGATCCATCAAGCTGATGCAATACAGGACGCCGACAGTCACGACAAGGCGGCGATCGATGCGGTGGATGATCTTTCTCTGCTCGCGCTCGGTAAACTCGCACTCGTAGGGGGCGCCATCCTGGGAGCCGTCGACATTTTCCACGAGGGATACCTGCCGCTTCTCGAGGATATCGTCGTTATGGGAGACCTGGTTGAGAGAGGCCATTGTGGATTGCGGGGGCAGGGGAGGGAGGAGAGAGGTGGGCAGGCTGAAGAACAGGGACGGGGGTGCATGATATATGTACGCATGTCGACGTTATGTCTATGTGTGTAGATAGGGACATGGCCATGCCAGCCCCAGCTCCTGACATTTGCCTGCATGCTCCCCCGCCATGGCAGCCTGCCAAGAAAAGCAAGCGCAATGGGGAGTGTTCTTGCTGTGTCCAGAAAAGTACCGAGGCACAGGGCAGCATGGGCTCTACGCCGCCCGCAAAAGAAGAAAGAACGCCGCGGGTGGGCACAAAACGCTGGCTTTACGGCAGGCGGAAAAGCTGGGGAGAGGCTTGGCATGTGGGGTCCCCGCACGCTGCCGTCCCCCGTCTCGCCCGCCGTCGACAACAAGACATTCCAAGCAAAGCGGAAGTTGTCTTGTGCCCATCGACGCCTGTCTTGTTATCCACCGCATCCATGCTGCCCACAGGAACGCGAAGAGCCGCACGCAGAATTGACCGAGCTGCCACCGACGGCCCTCATTCTTTGTCCGCCCTCTTGACGCTGCATCACCCGGCCTCCTTGGAAGGTGTTTCGACTACACGCGCGGGGTAGTTTCGCTTGCTGTTGCTCCACCGGGCCCATTTTCACGCTCAACATCTTGTCCCGACTTGGATACTGCTCCGGAAGGCGTTGTCCATGTGTGGCCACGAGCCGCATGCGAACAAGGGCGCATTGCTGCCATGGCCCGCGCCCCAAGCCGCCGGTCCCTTGGCAGAGACATCCATGTGTCGTCATCTCGAGCCTTTCAAGTGCTCCCTGTCGTCGCCCCTTTGTGTAATAGGTGTACGCGTCCTGTTTGTGCAACCCTGTGGCTCATGACAAACATACGGGAAACATCGAGTTTGCCTCTTGGACACAGCATCAACTGGCGCGCCTTTTGGATATTCGGGCATTCGGGGCACTCGGGGAGATACTAATGACCTGCAGGCTGCCGGTTGCTGCTAGTTAGTCAACTCGGCACCATACCGCCCTTTGGCAGCTGCACTGTCCTTTTCCCACATCCGTATTCTGGCCTGATTCGCCTACCGATGTCCCTGTCGATTGATCAGCAGTCTCCAAGATCTAGTCACGCATGCAAAAACTCCGGCTAAGGACCTCCTTTGATTTCCGTCACTACGCAGGGTGCCCTCAGCAATACTTGTTTGCGTTTAGATCTGTGGCGCAATCACCCCACCATATGCATCTTACTGGCTTTCGCAGAACACTCATATCCCAATCATGTCCATGGGCTGGAACAACTGCGAGGCCTCCATCAGCCATCATAAGTGATAGTTTCCGCACATCGAGCTGAGTCGTTAGGTCTAGCCGACATTCTGGGCCCATTATCGACCTTTGACGCGAGACTAGGGCCCCAACTGCATTTGCCAAGCGGCCATCTCAACTGTGCCCTGGAAAAAGCACCACCCTAGTCACAGAAAACCCACGTGTAAGTGCCCTACGAGCCAGCCCATTACAAGTGGCGATCCTCGCCTCGTATCCTGGTGGTTGGGAGCACCCAATGCGCCTCTACCCCGGATTCTCTCTCGACTACATATCTAGATAAACAAGCCAGTCTACTTCTTCGTCCAATCACACCTCAGAAGCCGGTGCACTAGCCGAGGCACATGCAGTCTCTCAACACCAAGCCGTCTTAGTAGTTCTCTCAGATGAGGCCTACAAATTCCGACCAACACCCTTCACCCCTCCATATTCGTATATCTAAGCTTAAACAAAGGACTCTTTGCCAATCACAATGGGCTAATGGGCCGAGGCACTTCCCCTCAATGCCTTACAGTCACACTACCCACCGGCTTGCAGCGCTGAATTTACGGCGACCAACAATCTCCCAAGAGATGAGTGTCTTGGAAACGAAATCAAAGGGTACAGGGTATAGACCATCCAATGGGATTACCAACTACTGTTTACGTTCCGAGGTATGGAGCTCGAGACATGGGGTAGCTAAGGTAGTGGGTGCATGGTGGATAAGCCACAATTGCTGGGCGTTGCCAGGGAGGTGGTTGGGCTGATATGGTCGCTCATAGGCCAGAAGCTTGTCTTTGGATCTCGTCATGCTAGTTTTCTAGACAACTATTTCTCTTATCCATCTGATTTTCTGTCATTGTGATATCGTGTGTGGTGAGTTGAACAGAGACCGAAATATCTCCAGATTTCCAAGCAGATAGTTTCAGGTTACATCTTTTTCGAGGCTGTTCAGGAACATACGTCTGCTGTTGAACCTCCTATCGAGAATCCTATCGAGACTTGCTCACTACCCTATATCAATAGTGTTACAGCGTATACCACCGCTGACGAAATATTCCCACCCTTTACTCCATGCGAACCCGTCGTATACAAAGCCCTCGACTCCCACCTACAACGTAAACTTCTTGCCCGCTTCCGTCGTCGGAAAAAAGTGTGCAGCGTTTCCCTTTTGCTTGGGCATCTGAAACCTCTGTGTCACAGTCGAATGCAGCAAAAACAGCAACGCCAACCTAACCGTAACAGTGCCTTTTGCCTCATCCAGCACCTCACTGTGCTTAATTGGATCCGAGTAATAGACATGCGGCTCCACCATCGAATACACGAATGCAAGCCGCTCCGGTTCTCCCGGCTCCGCTATATTCATCTTCTTGCCCTTGTACACAATAGCAAAGTGAAGAAAAATAATCTCGTCACTGCTGACCAGAAACCCGTATTCCGTGTTGCACGCGAGCATCCAGCGCGCTACATCGCCTAACCACACATCACTCAGTCCCTCATCCTCAAGTGTTTGGGAGAAGAAAAAAGAAAGGGGGGGGGGAAGGCTCATCTTACCCAACACACACCGCAGACTTCCCCACGTATTCCTGCCCACATTCTTGATCGCCGCCGTCAACGCACCCGGTCTTCCACCCAGATACTCTGCATGCCCCACGAGTCTCACTTCATCCTTGCCACTCGCAGCCTTTGAGCGAACAACAAACGCCGGCGTGATTCCCTTCGCAGCCAACTCCTCGTTCTGCTCGCCCCTCTCGAGCCAGATGCCCTGCGGTATGTCGTCGCCACAGAGATCCCGCATAGCCTGCGTGGTAAGTAGCGTGTTGTAGATCCTCTCCACAGGCCGCAGGACTTCGCAGATGAAATGGTATTCTAGGCTCAAGGGGGCGGAGAGGGGGCAAGGAGGGTGGGACGTAGCATCTGGCAAGTGGGCTTGGGAGTCTCCGAGTTGGCGGAAGGCTTGGACGCATTTGTCGTGCTTGAAATGCTCGATTGCGGCGTGTTTGAAGTTGTGCCAGCGGTACACGTAGCCTAAGTACCAGTGGCGTATTGCGTCGGCGGGGAGGAAGAGGAGGGTGTCGGGGGTGGGTGAGGGGAGGTAGTCGGTGCGGAAGGGTTGGAGGACTGCGGCGAGGGCGTCGAGGTGCTCCATGTCTCGGAGTGGGCTCAAGCGGTCGAATGTTCGTGGTGGGTCTGGAGAAGTATCTTCTGGGGAGCCATGGCGGGACTTTGGTTTTGTGGCGCTGATGGACGAAGGGTCTGGAAGGGTCGCGGTTGAGGGTTCACGTCTACGTGTACTTGGTTGTCCGGCGGGCGAAGAGCTTGCTTCTCGCTTTCTAGACTAGCGGTCAATATATGATTTGCAACAGGATGATGCTAGGTGTCTCTTTTACTTGTTTTCGGGTTGTTTGTCGGTACTACGAGTTGTACTTATGTCTCTAAGTGCATCACCGATCATTGCTTCGTAAAGACTGACTGCATGGTGCGGAATCTACTCGCTGTTTTCTAGCAACCTGCGTGCTATATGAATGTCTTCAATCCTGGTAGCGTCTATGAATGTATTCAAGAGGAGTCGTTGTTGCCCAGTTAGATTTTCCAATGAGTTGCCGGTTTCTGGGGAGTCTTCTTCTTTTTGAAGAGACATGGCGAAAGTGGCTGTTGTGTTACGAGAGTGTGGTTAACGATGGGATGATTAGAGGGGGTGCTTAATGACGAAGACGCCGAATACAATGCTAGGTGTCAGTTGAAAGCGGATGAACATGATGTAAATTACCCATTTCGATTGGCTCTTGTGTACCTGCCCCAAAAAAAGTGATTTAGAAGGTTCGGTGCTAGGTATTGGAAGGTTACATGCCCGCTCTTTACGTATTCGGGTGGTTCTTGAAATACTAGTACGCATCTCGAAGAGGCTCCACTAGTTGTTGTCGAGTTTGATACTCATATCATGTAGGCAAAGTGGGCACTTTTTCTTCTTAGAAGCTGAGCGTCTGAGAGATTAATGAACAGGATTCAAACTGGCCGCTGGATGGCATTTCCAATTTCGGATGCGAAAAATATCTTCATAGTCCTGACGCGTATATCTTTGATCTAACAGGCAACAATGAAACTAGTGATAACATATATCACGCGATATATTTCCATCACGATGTTAAAATATCGAGTCACTGGTGTGCAACCAACTTGAATGCAAGACATCATAATGAATTGAGAGCACTAGTTGCGACACCATGCCATGTCCCAAAAATACAAATTAAGGTAAAGCATACATTCTAAGAGAACAGTAACAGCACAAACAAAATGCATGGAAACAACATTCCAAGGACGTTCAAGGTTGCAAGGAAGAAGTGGGCACCCCAGGAATCTTCCAAGCTTTAACCGAATCATCCCGCAGCTGCGCTCCGCCTATGACACCATCGTGCGGAAGAGAGCCCCGACATCTTGTTTACACCACCAAAGCATGATTCCAATGCGGGAGCATCCAGTGTCCCTTGCAGCCGTTTCAACGACTCCCTACCCGCCAATCTGAAATAATGTACGCATTGACACTAGCTGGCATACCAATCGCCGTAGGCGCAAACGAGGCCGTGCACCAACAGCGGCTTCTGGACGAAGAAGCAGAGGCCGAAGAGCGCCAGGAAGAGTTCTATCTCGATGTTTTTTGTGATGCGAAGAGCAGGAAGAAAGATGAGGTGCACGGCGCGATTGTTGTCTTGAAAGACGGAAAGGTACAGGGCACCCACTTCATCTACCAGCGCGACACATGGTCACATGAGGGAAGAAAAAAAAGGCAGAGTGCTAATGAGAATGTAGATACGCCTCTGGCCCAAAGACCCAGAAACAGGACTCCCAAAACCCGGTCCAAACAACGAACCAGCACCCCACCCATTCACAGGATTCTACCTACCTTTCCCCTCCTCTGAACTCCCGCACCGCCCCATGCCCGCAGCCCCACTCCTTGGCCTTGTCAGCACTGTGCCACCATCTTGCCATCCATTTCCTTCCTCGCCCGAATCCTCTGCTCCCTCTACTCCGTCTCCTCCGCCAAAAACCGCTCCAAGACGGGCGAAACCAAAGCTAAACTGGATCTATGCGCACAAAAAGACACGCGAGTTGCGCTATGGACCCCGATCTGAAGCGAAGAAGCATAAAGTCGGGTCGTGGGATTGGACGGAGGATGAGCAGGGGTTGACGCTAGATGATGAGGAGTGCCTTGTTGCTGTGGAAGAGGAAAAGGGAGGGTATGGGTGGGCTGTGTATTGGGATCGGGAAGATGATTGTTTGAAGGAGGTGGGGGTGGGGCAGGAGAAGAGAGTGCTGAGGTGTAGTTTGGAGAGGAGGCTTGTTGAGAAGAAGAGGATTAAGGGGCTGGATGAGGATTGAGGTGATGATGGAATGACATGGCTAGCAAGGAAGTGAGAGGGTAGGAGGGTTTTTGAAGCGAATGTCGGTAAGGCTAAGCCTTGCATTGTTTCGTGCAAGGCAGGTTTGATTTGGTTCGCTGGTGTTGGTAGTATTACAGACGTATGAAGAAGTAACGCCTTGTAGGCTAACTATTGGTACATGCGTACTTGTTTCCAAAACATGTTCCAGAGGGCTTGCATGGTACTATCATAATACACTGCTTGTACAAGAGATTCAAGACATGGCAAATACGTGCATATCACATTGGGAGAAAATCATTAGTACTGCTACTGCATACGACTATGATCGTCACATGTAATATAGAGTACATGACAGCAGTCCCAGTCTACTATTCCATGTTCCCGTCGCCACACCCGCCTACCCCTCCCTCCCATCCTCAGATAGCAGAACAATCTCACCAGATTGTACCACACCCGTCGCTCCCTCGTACCGCGATCACAAGGAAAGTGCATCGATCACCCGTGCGCGATTCGATTTGCGCCATCTAGTAAGCGGGTCATCGCGCGCGTGTCGCATGGGATCCCTGTTGCTGGGCCACACAGGCGCGCGTGGTTTCCCCGGCAAGACGCAGGGACACACCCACAAACGCATAAACACAACAACACACACGCCCAAATAGTCCACTTAGTAGTGGGGTGCTTTGCCAACTCGAACATTGACAACTACGTTTTACGCCTCTTTACCTCCCCTTTATTCAACAAACATCCGTGCGGAAAAGTGCACAAGTTTTCTTTTATTCCTTTACAAGACCTTGCCGCATTTTCCTTCTCCCCTTTTTTTTGGCGGCTTAGTAGCTGGATCTCAGGATAGTCTTTGCAGTGCATACCGGACTTTTCTGCGGTGCTTGGTAGCAACTTCGTGTAGAACCTCCTAACGGCGTGTACGACTTTGAACGACTTAACATAATGGCTCTCTCATCGAATGGACGAGGAAATGGGCCCAACGCCACTGTTGCTCAACGGTACGTCTCTCTCTTCTCTCCCCCCCCCCCATCTCCCCTCGCCCGCCGCCCAACATGGAACTGATGAATATAATCCAGCCTCCAAAAGGAGCTCATGGACATCATGACCAAGCCCACGCCCGGCATCACAGCCTTCCCCGACGACGAAAACATGACCAAGTGGACGGCCACCATCGACGGCCCCGCAGACACACCCTACGCAAACCTCGTCTTCAAGCTCTCGATGGAATTCGCAAACAACTACCCCTACAGCCCACCAACCGTGCTCTACAAAACCCCCATCTACCACCCCAACGTCGACTTCTCGGGCCGCATCTGCCTCGACATCCTAAAGGACAAGTGGAGCGCAATCTACAACATCACCACTGTGCTGTTGAGTTTGCAGAGTCTGCTGGGTGAACCGAACAAGTACGTAATAGTAGTTTTTTATTTTATCTTGCAATCATGTCATGTCATGTCGAGCAAACGAGAAGAAGGCTGCATATATATATATAAGAGAAGTACGGAAAACTAACAAAAGATTAACAGCTCAAGCCCTCTAAACGGCCAGGCCGCAGAACTCTGGGACAAGGACCCTGCTGAGTACAAGCGTCTCGTACTGGCTCGCCACAAAGCACCCGAGGAACTAGACGCTTGATGGATAACACTCTACATGCACATACACATGTAGTAGTGTATATTCGCGGCACTTGTTTCCTTTTTAGTACTTTCCGTTCCCTTTTGCTTGCCCCCCACCCTTCTC